GCCTAAGAAGCCACATGGAAATGCGACAAATATGAGCCCTCCAAATGATGTGAGAGACGCCAATGTCATGTCTGTGTTGTACGATGATGGACGCGTTTGGTTGCGGTGTATTTGTTGTTGGATGACGTATGGTTGGTGGTTGGCTGTACTTGAAGTGGCATTGTGGCGTACAAGCGGACAAGGTCTTTGATTGAAAATGGTTTATTTTGGGACGAAATTGGTGGGGATGGGGTGGCGAACCACAAAGTGCTCAATCGGAGAAAATAATGTACAAACAGGTAGTTCAGAATGTCCGACAGTACGCGATACGATGAAGAATTAGAATTGTCCGTTGTGCAATCAGACATCGTCTTCCATTGCCTTTGCCGGGATTGGTTCCACCGTTACTACAACAAGTAACTAAGGTAAGCGAATGAGTAATAATGAACTTGCGTCATAGTGCCCCTTCCTGTAGGACCGATGTTCACTCGGTTATAGGTGTACATATGTTAATTCTATCGGAATGCTGAAACCACCTTCAGCGGGGACTTCCACAGTGGGACAAATCCGCGAGGGTGTAAACCCACTCAACGAAGCAGGATTGGCAACTCTGGGAAAAGGGACCGGATGGGAGTTATCATCTGGTGGGGAAGGAAGGGGACAACTGGACAGCTCCGCGGATGAGAACGCAGGTAAATCCGTAGAGGTAGGACAATCAAAGATGTCATCCAATGGATACGGTTTAAGCCTGTCAAAGCATGCCGCAAATTTGGGACTGTCGGCATCTTCAGAGGCTGGTAGGATACAGAAATAATGAGAAGAATCTTCTATGCCAACGCAATGTCATAACCAGTGTCTTGAGAATTTGTCAGGTGACCCAGGTTGCAACCCCTACCCCTGATACCCGAATACCTTGTCGTCAGGTTGCGGTGGTCCACCATGCGATGCGTACGGCGATCATAGCACTCCTTTTGTCGTTGATGGGCCGCGGAGTGGCAAGTGCGGGCAAGTTCATCTGACCAGTAGAGACTACCTCCGAGATTCCGTACGAATGTACTCGAATGAGATTGCGATGAAACCGTAAGGGGACAGGAAGTGTCCAGTTGAAGGCGGGACCCACGGCTGTATATAAGGGCAGGCGGTGTACGGTTCGTTAACGCGTGCGTGACGGATGGATAGGCAAGAATGCACTGAGGCAGAAGAGCAGCATCCGTGGAGGAGGCGGGACAACGAATTACAAAAGTTTGAATTAACACCTTGAGTGTCCTATTCATTCGCCGGTCTCGCCGCCCCAATTGTCTTGAGAAGGTCAAGGGTTATAGCGAGATTTACAAATATGAATTGTGTTCACAAGCGCGACTCGAATTGAGCACCACGGTCTGAATGGAGTTGCTCGGACACAACATGGCCAAATATGACCTTGGCTACCGTAATGGTGTCGGCCTCTGTGAGGGGCACGGCCTCGTACCACTTGGTGAAAAGTTCTACTTAGACAGGTATATGCCGGTTCCCGGGGTGTGAAAAGGCACGGGACCCTTTAAGTCGACACCGACAATTTCGTTCCTGTGGCCTGCCAGAGTGGTCTGAAGTGGTGTGATTTGTATTGATTTGAAAATATTGACATCCACACATATGGCACAGGTGTTGCAAATGTCCTGGATGACCAGACGTTGCTTTGGCCACCAAAAGCGCTACCCCGTGGCTGTGTCTGTGTGAGACTGACCAGCATGACTCAGATCATTACAGAGACAAGAGAATGTGAGATGGATCACATCGTGAGGTTAAACCAGACGAAATTAATCGGCAGGGGAATATTAAAGGAATAACTTGTCGTCGTAAAAACGAAAGCTGTTTCATGTCAACCAAAGGCACCGAATTTCCCAGGCGGTTTCGCTGCCCTGCGACGAATGTGATCATAGATAATCGGTACACGCAATTGTCTGCGGCTTGAGCTGACGTTCATCGTAAGTGATCAGGAGCGCCAATCGTAATGGCAATCGCCGAGACATACGTATGTAGCTGCGGTGGCGTATGTGCCTGGCAGGACAAGGCGTCCGCCTTCTTATGTTCCTACGCGACACAATGAACGACAGTGTTTGAATGCTCAAAAGGATCTGTCGGCAAGTGAGCGAGCGAGTTGACCAGCCGGTTTCCTTAACCACCGCAGCGCCTGTTTATCGGTGAGTTGTTTTGCTTCTGGAATCCGTTCCGGCAGTACCAGTCACCCTAACTTTGGTCTCCCTAATTCTGTCTTGTCAACGGCTTAGGGTAGAGAGAAGGAGAGAGTGCGGTAAATGATGCTTAAGTCTGCATTGACTATAAGCGAATTCGCGCATTAGTCACCATGCCCACACTCCCAATCTTGTGGATCAAACAGTGCAAATAATCGGTGGCGTCGGTCGAGCATGCGGTTGTTGTAATTATGTTGAAGGGGGCACTGCTCGCCCACAAGCGAAGGAGCTAGAAATGGTGCCTTGAAGATTGCTGAGGAAGCAGTTCGTCTGCAGACTGACCGTGGTCGCAGATGCCAAACTCACGGTCGAAACCACCATAATGTAAACAATAAATACAACAACAGTACCCTCTCTCGCCTCCTCCTCCTCCTCCTCCTCCTACATAGTCTTTCTTTCTTCTCGTTGTTCATTTTCTTATATTTTTTCTTGTTCTTCTTTTGCTGCTGCTTCTTCTTCTTCCTATTCTCCTTCCCCTTTCTTCGTCTTATTCTCCCCCTCCTTCCTTGTTCTTCTTCTCCCTACTCTTCTTCTCCTCCAACGTCCCGCTGATCTACTCGCCACATTGACAGGATGAGTCCACTCAATCTGGCAGCCCCACCTTAAACAATCCGACGAGCAACCGATCGGAACGGGGAACGGCGCTAGTGGATCGGATATTGGCGCGCAACAAGGTCAGCATCACCACACTCAGCGTGACCCTGTTCTCCGAACAAGTCCAACTGGAGGATTTGCGTGCGGTTACACCTGCTAATGGAGCGGTCGCCCCAAGACCGAACGATGAGACGCGGTTTAAGCCCTCGCCATCTGGAGCGACATCGTGGTACAATTGTCCTGTCTACCGCAGGGTATCAACGATCCCTTGATGGGCCTCCGCCTGCCTCTGTGGGATGGTGAGGCAAATTCGCCACCATCGTCAGCGACTACGCTCCGCCGATGACCAAACCTGACGCGGCACCAGGGAACAAATTCCATGAGGACAACGACGACGTCGCCATCAGCAACCTGCTCGTCGAGAAGAACAACCTACACAAAGCCTACTTCGACCACCCCACCCACGACAACAGAGCCGCCATCTCCGCGGTCGCCGCCTCCTACAACAGCAAATGCGCGAGATGCGGGATGCCTGGATAGCTTGAAAGGCTGAGCAGATCCAATGGTAAGCGGACGCCAACGAATGGAAGAACTTCTTTTCCGCGATCAAAGAGGTCTGCGGTGCGTCTTCCAAAGGCACTTCTCTTCTCCTCGGCACCGATGGCAGTACAATCCTGACTGAGAAGACACAAATTTTACAGCTATGGGCCGAACGCTTCCGAGCCGTCCTCAAGCGTCCCTCCACCATTATCGACGCCGCCGCCTCTGCTACAATCAATGAGGCATCTCCGGAGCGAACATCGCCGGGAAGATCTTCACCCGCATCCTCTTCAACCGACTAAATAATCATCTGGAACAGGGCCGTCTACCAAATAGCCAGTGCGGCTTCCGTCGTCATCGTGGGACCACGGATATGATCTTCACCGCCCGTCAACTTCAGGAGAAGTGCCAGCGGATGCAGACCCACCTGTACTCTACCTTCATGGACCTGACGAAAGCCTTCGACACGGTGAATCGTGAAGGACTGTGGAAGATCATGCAAAAATTCGTCTGTTCGGAGAGATTCATCGCGATGATGCGTCAGCTGCACGACGGTATCATGGCGCGAATCACGGAAAACGGAGCTGTCTCAGAGGCATTCGCAGTGACAAACGGAATGAAGCAGGGCTGTGTGCTGGCGCCTACCCTCTACAGTCTTATGTTCTCTGCCATGCTGATGGACGCCTACCGCGACGAACGCCCCGGGATCCGCATCGCCTACAGGACGGACCGTCACCTGCTGAATCAACGGCGGATGAACTTCCAGTCGCGCGTATCCACAACCACCGTTCACGAAGTCCTCTTCGCCGACGACTGCACCCAGAACACCACCTAGGGTAGGAGATGCAACGGAGCATGGACCTGTTCTCCGCCGTCTGCGAGAACATTGGTCTGGTCATTAACACGCAGAAGACGGTGGTGATGCACCAGCCGCCACCCAACTCAGCCACAGCCCCCAACACGCCGCCGCAAATCAGCGTAAACGGAACCGAACTGCAAGTGGTGGAGAACTTCCCGTAACTGCGCAGTACTCTCTCCCGCAACACCAAGATTGATGGGGAAGTCACCAACGGGATCTCGAAAGCCAGTCAAGCCTTCGGTCGCCTCCAAAGCACAGTTTGGAATTGCCACGGTCTCCAACTGAGCACAAAGCTGAAGATGTACAAGGCCGTCATTCTGCCGACGCTGCTGTACGGAGCGGAGACTTGGACGGTGTACGCAGCAGGCACGTCGTCTGAAACACTTCCACCTCAGTTGTCTTCCTCGCATCCTGAAACCGAGGTGGCAGGATCGAATCCCCGACACTGATGTGCTGGAACGAACGGGAATCCTCAGCCATGCTGACGCAAATGCAGCTGCGTTGGATCAGCCACCTGGTGCGCATGGACAACGAGCGATTTCTCAAACGACTCTTCTACGGATACGTCGCGACTGGTTCTCGCCACGAAGGAGGCCAAATTCGCCGTTACAAGGATAGCCTGAAGTCCTCCCTGAAACGCCTGCAAATCAACCCGACCAAGTGGGAGGAGCTCGCAATAGATGGACCGACACACGCTGCGATCTACGAAGCCAACCGCATCGCTGCCGCCAAAGCGAAACGCGAAGCCCGCAAATCACAACTTCGCCCAGTACGCAACGCCGCCGCACAACCGCTTCCAACGTGTCCTCGATGTCAACGGACAATCCAGGCTCGAATCGGACTTGTTGGACATCTTCGGATTAACTACGCCTCTCGATCTGCATCAATCATCGTCCCCCCGCCCGCCTCTTCCTCCTCCTCTCCGCCTCCAACTAACTCTGACAACTCTTATCGCCCACCACTTCCATCCCGCGCGCAACAACCGACACCATCACCACCTCCCCCGACTCCTGCGATGAGGATCAGGACTACACCTGCCCTCACTGCGACCGCACCCTCACCTCACACATCGGCCTGGTCGGTCACTACCGAATCCGTCGCACAGAGACTGGCGAACCAGTGCCTGGAGCACTCACCTATACTCACCAAGCTCGTCTCAACTTCCCACACTGCCCGCGCACTTTCAGGCATCGCATAGGCCTATTTGGCCACATGCGCATCCACGACGACCTGCGGTTAACAACCGCCGGCCACACCACATATTCACTCACTCCCTCCTCCTCCTCCACCACCACCACCACCACCATCACCCCACCAGAAATCAACAC